GCCAGCCACTCGCGGCCGAGAAGGCGGCGGCCATCAGCAGCGTAAAGCCGCTCGCACCCTCATTAGCGAAAGTCGCGTCCACCCGCCGGCCGCCGTTGAGCCACGCCAGCACCGCCTCGCCGCCTTGCTCAGCCGCCTCCACGACCTCCTCGGGGACGGCGTCCTCGCCCGTTCCGCTCTCCACGCCGCCGGAAGAGGACGCGGCAGTTGGTGCCGCCGCCGCCCCCTTGCCCGAGGCGGCACCGCCGTCCGCCCCCACGCCGCCCGCCTCGACCGCCGCCGCGTCGCGCCTCTCCGCCGCCACCTCGCCGAGATACGTCTTGACGGCGGCGACGCACTCGGTGTGACCCTTCTCCTTGGCGATCTGCAGTGCCGTGTTGCCCGCCGCAGTGCGCAGCGCCATGTCTGCGCCTGCCCGCAGCAACTGGAGCACGACGGCAGCACGGTCGGAGAAGGCGGCGTTCGTGAGCGCAGTGTAGCCGTCGCCGTCCTGCAGGTCGACCTCTGCCCCGTGCCGCAGAAGCAAGACCACGCGCTCGTGGCCTTGGTGGGCAGCGAACATCAGCGCGGCGACGCTGCCGCTGTCCAGAAGGTTGGTCTCCGCGCCGTGCCGCAGCAGCGTCTCGACCACCTGCACGTGGCCTTCCTGGGCGGCGGCCATCAGCCCCGTAGTGCCGTTGCTGTCTTGCGCGTCCGGCTTCGCGCCCCGCTTCAGCAGAACCTCGACCAGCTGCTTGTGACCGTGTCCGGCGGCGGTCAGCAGGAGCGTCCAGCCACTCACACCTCCACGCACGTACGTCGCGTCAGCCCGCCCGTCCCCGGCGAGCCACGTCTGCACCACGCCCAACTTGCCGTCCTTCGCCGCGGCTTGGATCTTTTTCGGCAGCGCGAGCGACGCAGCCTGTGGCGCCGTTGAAGCGTGGGAGGCGGCTGAGCCAGCTTTTCGGCCCGGCATGGAGCGGGGGCTCGAGAGCAGCTGGCGCGTGGAATAAAGAAATTGCTGACGGCGATGTGTAAGGAACTGCACTCCAAGTGCTCCAAGTGCTGGGCGCTCCCGCCCGGTGTACTGAGAACGGGGACGTGGGAGAGAGAGACTACCCTGCGCCCTCCTCCTCCGCCGCCGCCCCGAGCCCCGTGCTGCCTGAGCCACTCCCGCGAGCGCAAGTCCGCCTGTCTCACTGGCTCGGGGATGCGATGCCTCGAGCAGCGGCGGACCACGCCGAGGGCCGACGGGAGGGAGAGGCCGTGCCCGGACCGACACGACGACTGGGCGAATGCCGCCCACGGCGCTTGCCGGCTCGGACGTGCGCAGCAGCGCGCCTGCAAAAGAAGGGCCTAGGACTAGCCTCACACGCCGCGTGCCCTGTCGCCTGTTTGTGTTGTTTCTGCTGTTGATTCTGGGTCTTGGCACTGTGCGTTAGAAACACAACACGGACGAATGTTTCTCTTTGGGACAGCTCTTTGGGACAGCAAGACAGCATGGGGAAAGAAGAATTCTTAAAGTACAAGCCTCTCTCACAGCACGTTGGATTCGAGCTGTTTGGGGGGAAAGGGTAGGGGTAGGTTCCCGATCGGCGGGCTACCCCCTACCCCCCTACCCCTCGACACGTGTCCAGGCACAAGGGCTACCCCCTACCCCCCTACTCACAGGTCTCCAGTGTCCAGATTGCTGTAACGGTAGTTTTGTCGGACAGCGTCACGCCGGCAGCTCACCTCACGCCCTGCCGCCCCTCCGCGCGCCCGCGCACCCCCTACCCCCAGGTGCCTCCAGAAGCCGTAACGTCGCCCACACTGCCCCTCCGGCTCCGCGCGCCCGCCGCCCGCGTCTCACGCAAATCCGACGATGAGCGATGTGCCGACTATGGAGGACCCGTCACCAGACGACGCAGGGCGGACGACGGGGAGGCGGAGCAGACGCGCAGGGCGAGACGAGGGAGGGAGCAGGATGTTGCGGAGATCAGCAGGAGGATGTACGACGAGATTAGGAGCAGCAGGGACCCGAGGGACCATGTGGAAGACGGCTAGTGCTAGTCCCCCATCGGGAGGACGACCCCGGCTATAGTCGCCGACCACACCCACAAAGAACCCTGCACAAAGACCGCAGGGCGGGGACCGGTTCCTTTTTACCCATCTCCTAGCAGAGGTGTCCGTTTTATTTATTTATTTATTCGGTTGGGCTCGGCGCGCGACGGACTTCACACAAAAACACAACCACGGACCCAAGACGCACAAGCTCAGACAGTCGAGAGACTTCACAGTAACGTAATTCACAGTTCGGCCAACAAGCCCTCACACCGGCACCCCCTACCCCCCTACCCTCCGTCGGGCCTCCCGCTGACCCTCCTACGCCACAACCCCGACCCTACCCTACTCGAGTACGAGACGGACAGCTCGAATCGCCGAGACTCGAGGGTCGCCACGCTGGCAAGTGTTGCGAGCAAGAGGGATGGATGCCAGGTTCTCGGTCTCGCTCGCTGTCACTCGCTCTCCTCCTCTCTCTGCTCCTCGCCCTGGCCGCCCTCCACGCCGCCGTTCGCGCACTCCGCTCTCGCTCCTCAACGGCCACCGCCACCACTGCCTTCACCGCTCCCCGCGAGGCAGCCGGCCCGCTCGGCGGCCGCTTCCCAGCGCCGCCGGCCAGCCTCACACTGACCTTTGGCACCGTCGGTCTCAAGGACTTTGTGTCCAATTGGCTGTGGCACGCGGCGCGGGTGCGGCCGCGGCTCTCGTATGGCGTCATCGCGCTCGACGACGAGCTGCGCCGCCTCTGCGACGTGTGGGGCGAGCCGGCCATATCCGCCCGCCGGCTGCTCGCCGGCGGTCCCGCCTCGGTCGACGCCGCCTTTGCCGCGCTCGGCGGCGGCTACGTGCGCGACGAGCGCGGTAAGTTCAAGCAGCTCGGCTACCTCAAGGCGCTGGCTACGGCACGGCTGCTCGAGCTGGGGTTCGACGTGCTGCTCAGCGACGCAGACGCCGTATGGCTCGGCGATCCGTGGCCGTGGATCGGCAGCCGCGCGGGCGGCCAGCCGTCGGCCGACGCCGGAGACTTGCCGCTCGCTGACGTGCTCGCCTCAAACGACATGCCCGACTTGCGGCGCGATGGGCAGCCGGACTCGGTGTACAACTCGGGCGTGGCCTTCTTCCGCGCCTCGCCGGGCGGCAGAGGCGGCCGCGCGCGCCGCTTCGCGCTCGAGTGGGCCAACCGCACGCTCGCCACGGTCCCGCCTCGCGCGCGACGGCAGCCGTGCATGCATGTCAGCACCCGCCCACGCGTAAGGTTGTGAGCAGGGCGTCATCGGCAACGATCAGACCGAGTTCAACCGGCTGCTGCGGAACCGGTACATCGACGGCGACTACAGCTGCAACCGGCCAGAGTGCCTCGCGCGGGACCCCGGCATGTACGTGCCGTACTCGGCCGAATGGGTGTGCGACGGCGGCGGCGGCGGCGGCGGCGGCGGCGGCGGCGGCGGCGGCGGCGGCGGCGGCGGCGGCGGGTCCTCCGCCGCAGGCTGCCGGCCCTGCGGCTGGCGGGCGACTCCGGGCACGGCCGACCCGTACACGGGCTTGCAGGCGGTGGAATTGCCGCGGCAGAGCGAGGCGTGGCGGCGGTGCGAGGCGGAGCAGCGGCTGCTCTGCTGCGCGGGGCGCAAGCCGCGCTTGCCTGCGCGGCGCGTCTACTGGATGTGGGGCGGGCGCGTGCGGTTCGGCCTCCTGCCGGCCGACCGGTTCCTGCAGGGCCCAACCTACTTTGTGTACCGGCTGCACGAGCAGCGCGCTGTGCCGCCTCTGCACGTGCACGTGACGTACACTATGGGCGGTGGGGAAGGCAAGCGGTCGAGGCTGCGCGCCGCGGGGCTGTGGCAGGCGCCGCACCCGCGCCCGCGTAGACCTCCAGACCTCCCTCTGACCGCGCTTGCGTTGCTCTCGCGCCAGGCAGCGTCGCGCACGGGGGCGCATGCGGCCGGCAGCGCGGCAGGCGATTTCGCCGGCGGCGCCGGCTTTGTGCGGGTGACCGGCCTCGATGCGTTGCTGCTCTCGCTGCTGGATCGCATGCGGTTGCCCCCAAAGGTGTGGGAGTGCGACCCTCCCCCCACCGACGCGGAGCGGGAGCGAGGCCACTTGCCCGACCAGCCGTCCGCCTTCTTTGCCCTGGAGGGCGGCGCGGGCAGCGCATCCCGCTGCTACCACCCTCGCCACCTCGTCCTGGGCGGCCGGGCCGAGGCGCCGCCCGCCTTTGACTATGCGCGCGCGCCCGACCCGGCGGCTCCGCACGTCGCCATGCAGTACGTGCAGCGGTCCGTGCTGCGCAACGCGCTCGCACTCGCTTCGGCGCTCGGGTGGCAGCTGGTGCGGCCGAGGCTCTGGGCGCTGTGCGAGCGGCACTGGTGGCACCTCAAGGACTGCCGGCTGCCGGGCAACCCGCTGCCGATGCCGTACGAGGCGCCGTACGACACTCTCTTCAACCTCGAGGACTGGAACCAGGCCGGGGCGGAGGACGGAGCGGCGGCGGGCCCCATCCAGCTGGCAGAGGAGGGCGAGGTGCGGGGCCTCGAGGCGCGGAGGCTGCACCTCCTTCCGCCGAGCGACGGAGGCGGCGGCGCTGCGGGCGGCAGCGTCAAGGGCGACCTCGTCCTCCCCCACGGCACCTCGTTCGACGCCGCAGCGCGCTTCCTCCGGCCGAGGCTCGGCAACGCCTCCGGCGGCCGGCGCGCAGTTGTTGAGCTCGACGTGCGCTCGCTGCTGCGCTTCTCGCCGTGCGGCTTTGACGACGAGGCCGCCGCGGCGCGCTTCCAGCGGCGCGTCGTCGAGCGGCTCTTCCGCGGGCAGTACTCGTACTGCGGCGAGGAGCGCAACCCGCACGTGGACGCGATGCTGGCGAACGCGCGCGCCAAGCACCAACCCGAGGAGCCGCTGCTCATGACGCGCCGCAATTGCACGGGCCAGCCCGCAAACGACTTCAACAAGCCGAAAGTGGACTTGGGCCCTGAGGCGCTGCGGTACCTACCTCGCGGCGCGTGTGGCGAACGCACGGTGGGTGGCGGCAGCGACGATGGCGCCGAGGCGACCCTGAAACGGGGCGTGGCGTTTGTAAGGCTCTCGTAGTACGTAAAGCCGTGATCCGTTTCACCGGGCCGCACCGCGGGGCGTCATAACCGAACCGAAAGAGAAATTGCACTGAATTACGAAACAAAATCTGAATTACGCCGCGTGTTTGATCTGAAGTCACGGCGAATTCAGTGCGGGCGCGCCTGGCGGCAGTGGCACCGCCCAGCGAGCGAGCGAGTGCGCGCGCGTGACGTATGGTATGGTGTGACGCGAGAGTCGAGAGACGTGACGCCTGACGCTGACCGCTGACGCACGTGTCCACGAGAATCTCCCCGTGCGTGCGTCCAAATAAATATCGATCGGCCATCTCGCGGCAACTCGGAGCGAAATTTTAGATTTAGTTTCTCACATGCAAGGGTTGGTGCACACAAGTTGAGCGCAGCAGTGTACTAGTCTATCCCTAGGTCTGCGCGCGTCTCTGCGGGCGCTTGCTCTTCAAGACAGAGGCCCGTGTTCCCGACGAGGCCGATTCCCGCCGCCGGTGGGAAAAAAGATTGCGGGGTGACCAGTCCTTGGGCCAGCCCCGAAATGGCCGGCATCGCCCCAAAGCGTAGGCCAGCAACGGCG